TCTCCAGAATGCTCCAATACAAAACAGACTAATGTAGCTTGTCAACCACACTTAAAAATACATATCTGGAAATTTAGGTTTGGATTTATGTAATTTCTGTGGAGTGAGGTGAGCTGATAAAGGCAAGTCTGCATTTGGAATTAACTGTAGCTGACAAACTATTATAGCATAAATCTGACCCGAAGTGTTCATAAGTATATATATTCACTCTTGATTTTTGCAAAGCTGGCTTTGGACTCTGATTCTGTAACACAGATCATGCTTTAGAAATACATTTTGCCCTGTATTGTGATGAACAAGTCTCTGCATCAGTTATCCGATTGTTCAGTGATGACGCGACTAATCCTACTTCCGGGTTTAAAGTAGTCTGCGTTTAATACGGCTTTTTTGTTGTTAACATGTTTAATGTTATGTATTTTCTTCTATTTGATCTCAAAAAGCTCCTAAAACAGTCAGTGATCCCTGTTGACCTCCCTCGGCTTTATTATTACTAATCATTTATTTAAGCTCAGTTTTTAAAACCTTAGGATGTAACTACAGCCCAGCCCATGCAGCAGTATATGAATAACTAACCACGTATTGTGGATGGATTATCTCAGTTGTTCTCCTGGCTGAAGTTTGGTACTTTTACAGCATCCTGCCATGCGATTACATTTGTTCCTGACCACCGACAACACTCACGTTAACTTTTATCAAGTGGAAAAAAAGTTAGCTTGTTTATATTATGCTAACATAGCTGTGTCGCTAGCGGTCACGTAGCACATCATTATATACCAGCTAGCCCAACTTCAGTAACCCTACAAACGTCACTGCTGTTTAGTTTTCTGTCTTCATTTATGCTGGAAGTGATAACAGAGCTATACGTTTTAATTTGTTTCCAAAACCCCGCAGTCAGGACATGCTATATTGTATTTAGATAGAAGCTAGCGAGCTAACTCCCTGCTAACTTCTAACTCCGTTAAATGTCATAAATTCCGTTTTCATGGATGCCTGGATGTTAAACTCAATTGTTACACCTGGTAGAGCAGAACGCTGATCATTTTATTAAAGATGAAAGACTTTAAACAGTTTTTCAACTCTCAGTAATGCCATAGTGATCGTTTGATATATGGACCTGCAGCGGAGTTTAGACCCAGACATGGCTAGTGACGTCAGACTGAACAATCGGATAGCAATTTGAGGGCCTGTGCTTGCTCTAAAAAAGATCACAATGCTTGTTGGGGAGATTGCATTTGCTCTTCAATTGTTCAAAGGACACAAAATGTCCATTTTCATAACAGTCTTCCACATACTGAATCCCCTTTCATTGCCATATATCCACAGTCTTCATCAGATGTACGAGTTCATTTAGTCTCAGAGAAATCTTTGAAGACAGTCCAAGTTTTCAGTCCAAGAGTTCTGTGACCTTTGCACCAGATTTTAACCAAATATCACATAAATGGCTAACCAGTTGTCACTTTAGACTCACTGACTAACATTACATTGTATGTGTTTGGACTGTGGGAGGAGGCTAGACAACCTGTGGAGAGTCTCAGGCTCAGGGAGAACATCCAAACTCCACGCAGAAAGGTCATACAGCTACTAGGTCCTGGGCATAACCGTTCCAAGAAGGAATCCTCAGCCTCACAATATCTCTTAGAGTCAGTAATTCCACTGATTGGTGGAGCTTCTCTTTTTGGGAAGTGACATTGCTAACTACTGCACCTCCGTGCTGCCTATAAGTCCCATTAATACAACCTATAGGTGGCACATGACGTTGATGACAACATTATCAAATGAATGTAATTAATTTTGTATTTAATAAGAATTGAAACTACTAGTTGAAGAATTTTCTGCAAGGTTTTTTTGCAACAACAAATGTGGCCCCCTACTGGCCACTATAAAGAAAGCAGGTTTAAGTCAATTGTACTTTGGTTTCAGACTTCAGACCTCAAAGTTACATCCATCTTTTCTATACAGTCTATGCCTTCTCTTTTGCTCTAATCATTAATATAAAATGCCAGATATGCCACTTGATCATAAGCACAGATTAGGGACTAGTACTAGGATTTAGCTAATATATTAAATTGAATATTCTGATAGTAACTAGCACTTGGGTAAAGTAAAATGTGAAGTGAATTTAAAGTTTATATCAGAAATTGCTGATAACCTCACTGCTAGCAGTCTACATAAGATAAAATGAGGACAGTGCTGCCCTATGACTTGCAGATAACAGTGTGTATGTCGGGAGTCCTGTCGTTACATTTCATCACCTTCCTCTGCTGTAAACAAGGTGATCAGGAAACAGACAGGCGAGAAATGTTGGGATATTTACGGCTGCTATTTCTGTTGATACAAGATGAAGATTGTGTGTGTGTATGTGAGAGAGAGAGAAAGAGCATAAACTAAACAGAAAGTGCTCAGTTGACTCTTGAACTATTTGTGTTCCTTACTGGCTGTGTGCAGAATACCAGGTAATATGGGCGTTATTTACAGAGGAGCATATCTTCAGTGGCTTATAAAGCACCTTAAGTTACATGAATAAAACATGACTGAAACTGGAGGATGGAATCACATCCCTTCAAGCTACTTTGTCATTTGATGTTTTGCTGATAATGACTACAATAGAGAGTGCCATCTAAAACATCATTCAGTTGGGTTGAGATTTGTAATTGCTTAGGTCATAGCATGTGAGTGACGGATGAGGTCTTTGCAGTGATTTGCTGCAATCTTGTAAAACTATGCCAGCATAATGGCCCCAACACTATGGATCCAAATTTCTAGATGGAAGCTATTTTAAATTTACATTGTTTTCATTTTCATTTGTATATTTCAGGTCTAACAAAAGGTTAAACTACTTCATCAGTAGGGCTGCGCGATATGATGAAATATATTGGATACACTGTTTATTTAATTTTTTTCATTGTTTGGATGGTCATCACATGGATGCAGGCACAGGAATACCAGCATAGCCATTAAAGATGAGGCAGAAACAGGTAGCTCCAAACAGAAGGACCAGTCAAAACAAATCAAGGACCTTATTCCTAAACTAGTCCCCACCGCAGAGTCAAACATGACAAACTCTTCTACCACATACGCAAAAATCACACGAAAGAGTATGGAGAGAGTTTACGGATGAGACGCAAAAGAAGAGCCGTCAGGTGCTCAAAATAAACCTTACACTCAAACATTAGAACAGGCTTTTTCCCGCAGCACACCATGTAATAAATACTCAAAAAGAAAACTGCGGAAGTTACAACTTATATTTAACAATGCATAGTTTCATGCATCGGTCAAAACACTCGACTCTAGGTACACAATGTCCAGCTGAAAACACTTCACACAAGTTGAGCTGCCCGAGAGTGGCAGAATTTACAGAAAAAGCACTATTTTGCCATATACATGTTGTTGGGATGAGAAATGTCTTTCATCGGATATGAGATTCTGGTTATATCACACAGCCCTATTCATCAGGTAATGCATGTAATTTTCACTTTACAACTTTTTTGAAGTGCCTAAGAACAATTCCTGCTAAAAACAAAACAAAATATAATTTACTGGGCGCAGGTTTCGCTCACTGGGCATGAGCAGGAGACCATATGCCGCACGCTGAGAGCAGCTGGTTCGAGTCCGACCCCCCATGTCTTTGCTCCGCTTTCCTGTTAGCCTTCACCATCCCTATCAAAAAAAATCCATAAAAGGCCCCAAAAAGTTTAACAAACATAATTTACGGTATAATTCTTAATAGAAATGTTGAATTTAATGTGTGATGACAATATGAAAATTTAATAGCAGATTAGCATCAAACGCTGTATTCATTTGATGGAAGATGGAGGGACATGCAAGCTGCAATGCTGTGTGTCCTTTGTGTAATTGAGAGGATACTGAAAGCTACAAATTTATCCTGTCAATGCAGAGCTCACTCTTGATTTGTTGGAAGAGCTTTCAGAGGCAGAAATAGTTGGCATTTTGCCAAAGTAGCTTTTGGCAAAAACACAGACTGTCATTTGCATTTAAGACCATTTCTGCACAGACAAGTTTGTTTGTGCAAACGAACACGACGTCAGCTCAAGAACCTGGCAGCTTCAGACCAACAAGTTTGTTTACCGAGCTAAGGAGAACTTGGGAGATATTGCCCCCAAGTGAGGAAAATACTGTTTTCCAAAGCAGGGTAAATTCCATTTCCTTTCATGAGCACTCAAGCATCAGACTTATTTCATGTCAGATTAATAGGAAGCTTCTAATCTATACTAGCAAAAACATATGGGTGGGTATTGTGTGTGCTTTTGTATAAACCAATGAAGATGTTGTGTTTGCAGTAAGCCTGTGATCCCACTAATATTAAAAACCATACAAGCTCTGAGTGGAGTAATAATGTGCCAGTACTTGCCTGATAAGTATTCTGTAAGTCTGATAAGGAAAGAATTGTAAATGAAACTATTATCTTCATGTCACATGATACACAGATTCAGAGACACGCAAAGCAAAAGTGTTGATATAAATGTTTGAATTCTGAATAGGAGACTGAGTAAACTAGTGCATACAGGTGTAGGTGTTCTGGCGGAGGGCCAGAAAACACGGACACAGCAAAACAACTGCAGGGCAGATAATGTCCTTTTCTCCCATCTTGGCTTCTCTAATGGCAGCAAAAGTGCAGTCAACTTAATAACAAGTAAATGACTGCATTCGATCTAGTTAAGACCTCTCTAAAATGACAAAACCCTAAAAATAATACTCATAAAAAAGCTTTACTGCTCAAATGAAAAATCTATAAAAGGCTTCATTAATAAGACAAGCCAGTAATGAACTGAACCCTAGTAATAACTAGGTTCGACCAAACATTAACAGAAGCTGAAGATGTTTGTTGCTTCCAGCTCTTTGTATGAGTCTTTTTACAGCCCCACTTTCTTTTAAACGATACATGACTGTTTTGGAAATAAAGTCTGTTTAAGTTTTAAGATTTCATTTTTCTATTAAAGAAATTTTTTTGAAAACTTTTATGCTTTTCTTTTATACTAAAGGGCACAGCATCCGGGAAGTATACGCTACAAGTTTAACTTCATTGCAGATGTGGTGGATAAGATTGTCCCAGCTGTGGTACACCTGGAGCTTTTTCAAAGGTAAACCAAACCAAAGCAGAAAAATGAAGTAGCATTCAAAATGCTCTTTTAGATGCAAAATGACCTTTGCTATTAATCTTTTTTTACTGCCAGAGTGCCATTTTCCAGTGAGGAGGTCTCTGTGTCGAGTGGCTCTGGGTTTATAGTGTCAGAGGATGGCTGGATTGTCACAAATGCTCACGTGCTTACCAACAAACAGCGGATAAAAGTTGAGTTGAAAGTGGTGTACATATGAAGCTGCGGTCAGGGATGTGGATCAGAAGATGGACATCGCTCTCATCAAAATCGATCCAGATGTGAGTGTCCTGCTGTTTTTGTGGGGCTCCCAAGGGTTAAGGCAAAATCAGTGGTGCGTTTCCTCTTGCTGAGTAGCTTGTCATCAGAGGCTAACATCAAAGTGTATTAATCCTGCACACAAAGCAGTGAGAAATCCAGGGAGAGAGTCATCAAGGGCCTTTGCCTACCAAAATTAGACTCTGTTCCTTAACATGGCCAATTTGCAGACTGAATTCCTTTGGGGTGCTATTTGTTCATGTATCATGAATTCAAAGCCCCAGCTATTTTGTGTGTATACTTACAAGAGCGGTTTTGAATAAAACATGTTCCAACTTAGACTTGCTCATACAGAACTGGCTGCTTTGTATGGTAGCAGGTGCTCTATTCCCAACCACTTCAGTCAGACGGCACTCAGTGTGAAGCACATGATTAACATCTTTAGGGCTGATCTGAATACAGGAACACCTCAAGATCAGCAGAAGTTAACCAGAAGCATCACTGGATTTAACTGCTTTAAAGCTGAAGGAGTTTTCTCTTTTTAAAAACCTGGGAGTGGTGACAGTTGTACAATGCTTTAACACTCTGTGATACATTCTTTGCATAAGGGGTTCTAAAGCTTGCCTAAAAGGCATATTGTTGTGACATAAGAGCCCATACCCGGGAGGTGCAGCTATAAATTAAATGAAGCATTACAATTCCACTAGAGATAAATGGCGTGAGCCTGGCAAAGGAGGAACCAGGCAGAGTCAAGCTGAAGCATTTTTTCGTTTGGTGTACAACTAAATGTTTTTTTTTTTTGGTTTTTTTTTTTTTTTTTTACAACTTTTATTTATATATTTTCCAACAAAACAAGTCCAGTCCAGAATTTCTTACAAAAGTTGCGAACCCTACCCCCACCCCATCCAGGTGGCATCCCCACAACCAGGAAGCACAATACACACAACACAAAAAAAAAAAAAAAAAAAAAAAAGGGGAAACACTCAAACCAATCTGTGACAGTCATTATAGCACCAACAGCCGGACCCCGGCACATGAGAGAAGAAACAAAGAAGAAAAAGGGAATAAAGAAATCCCAACAGTCAAAGTACGGGCATTGAGGAGACTATGGACAGCAGTCCGAGAAGAGAGCAAGAGCATAAATTACCAACAAGTAAAGAACAATAAATCAGGCAAAAGACAGACTCTTGACATGAGTTATGAACCGTGACCAGGTTTTGTCATATTTACTCTCCAAGCCGCGCACGGTATACCTAATTTTTTCCAGAGCTAATCCCAACATCACCTCTCTAATCCAATGGACGTAGGAAGGAGGGTTTGACGCCTTCCAGCTCAGCAGTATCAGACGGCGGGCATGCAACGAGGCAAAGGCTATTGCGTTTTCGTGGAGGGGAGAGAGTCTCAGCTCTTCCCGAGGTACACCGAAGATAGCTATCAAGAGTCAGGCCGCAGTGTTCCACCCGATATAGCTGACAGTGATTGAAAAATTGATGTCCAGAAACCACACAGGGAGGGACATGACCAAAACATGTGCCCCAAAGAAACAGGAGAGTAATCACATCTAGGACAATTCGGTGCAACATCAGGGTACAGTTTAGACAGTCTGTCATTAGAATAGTGGAGCCTGTGGACGACCTTAAATTGAATCAGGCCTGTCTAATACAGAGAGAAGACGTATGTATACGCTGTATGGCTTTCTTCCAGATGTCTTCTGACATGAGTTCTCCAACCTCCCTTCCCACGCCGCCTTAGGTTTGTCCCATGTATGAGGGCAGCTTTCAAGAATCAATGCATAAATCTTCGATATTGCTCTTTTAGTGGGCTGACTCACATTAAGAACTAGATACAGTAGGTCCTTAGAGGGCAGAGACGGGTACCCTGGGAGAAATTTAGAGGCAAAACTCCGAGCCTGAAGGTATCTGAAGTAGTGAGACTTTGGTAAGTTATGGTCTTCACACAAATATTTAAATGAGACAAAGCCATCCTCAGTGAAGAGATCTTGAAAGAAAACCAGACCGTTTCTGTGCCAGACTGCAAATGAATGATCTATTTGAGATGGTGTAAAAGATGGTTGAACATTATCGGAGAAAAGCTACAAGTATTTGTCAAGTTAAAATGTTCCTGAATTGACCCAGATCTTAATTGAATTTTGAACCACCAAATTGGAGTTCAGCCCAGATGCTTTGACATTCAGTGGGAGAGGGGCAGTTAAGATCGAAATCGGAGAGATTGGGAGTGTAGCTCTCAGTTCCATATCTGCCCAGACTGGACCCTCCCCATCCGCAAACATGGTTATCCAATATGTCAGCTTGACAATGTTAGCAGCCCAATAATAGAATAAGAAATTAGGTAAGCCCAAACCACCATCAGCTTTAGCTCTCTCCAGGCTTGCTCTCCTTATGCGTGCAGGTTTTTTGTTCCATATGAACAAAGAGACAAAGCGATCCAGCTGGGCAAAATAGGATTTGGGGAGAAAGATGGGGATCATTTGGAATAGATAAAGAAACCTGGGCATTACAGTCATCTTCACCACATTTATCCGTCCTGCCAGCGAAAGTGGAAGTTTTGACCACCTACCCAGATCAGATTTAGTACTGTCCAGAATAGACCTGTAGTTATACTGGAAAATAGTCTTAATCGAGCCAGCTATTTCCAGTCCCAAATATGTGAATTTGTCATTTTCAATTTTAAAAGGCAAATCGTCATAAGTGGTCTGTTTTGCCAGATTGTTCAATGGAAACAGTAAAGATTTTGATAAATTAACCTTATACCCCGATATGTTGCTGAACTCCCGCAGCCAGCGGAAAAGGTGGGGCATACTCCCAATTGGGTCTGATATCTGCAAAAGGAGATCATCAGCATAAAGCAGAGTTTTATGAGTTACCTCACCCCTGGATATACCTTTAATCCTCTCATCAGATCTGATAGCAATTGCCAGCGGTTCGATCGCAATGTCAAACAGGAAGGGTGACAGGCAACAGCCCTGCCTCGTCCCCCTGTAGAGCGAAAAATATTCCGAAATCAGACCATTCGTCCTGACTGCAGCCATAGGCGTTGAATATAGGACTTTAATCCATCTACAAAAAGTAGGTCCATGCCGAATTTCTCCAGAACTGTGAAAAGGTAGGACCATTCGATTCTATCAAACGCCTTTTCAGCGTCAAGGCTCAGAATAACTTCCGGTTGTATTGTCGAATGGGGGGAGAATACCACATTAAACAGTCGTCTCACATTAAAAAATGACTGCCGTCCGGGAATGAAGCCCGTTTGGTCCTCATTAATAATGGTGGAAATAATAGGGTCCAACCGTAGTGCAAGAGTTTTGGTTAAAATCTTATAGTCACAGCACAAAAGACTTATTGGCCTGTATGAGCTACACTGTACAGGATCTTTATCTTTCTTTAGTAAGACTGAGATCGTGGCCTGGGTAAGCGTCTGCGGCAGATTGCCAGTAGCAAAAGATTCAGCATAAACTGATTCTAAAATAGGTGTGAGCTTCGAAGAGAATTCCTTGTAAAACTCCATGGGGAAACCGTCCGGACCTGGCGACCTTCCAGTCTGAGACAATTTAATAGCGTTCGTTATCTCTTCAATCGACAACGGCTGTTCCAAAGGCGACTGAGCGTCCGGAGAGAGCTTGGGAAGATCCAGCGAGTCAAGAAACGAGTAGATCTCGGATGAATTACTGCCCACCTCTGATTGATATAGGGTAGAGTAAAAATATTTGAACTGGTCATTAATGACTCGGGGGTCGTGAGATATCGAATCAGCACCTATTTCAATTCCCGAAATCACGCGCTCAGCTGACCGCTGTTTGAGCTGAAGTGCAAGGAGCCTCCCCGCTTTATCTCCATGCTCATAATATACCTGCCTGGATTTAAAAATATTTCTTTCGGCTCTCCATGTCATAAGCGTGTCAAATTCAGTTTGCAACAGTAATTTCTCCTTAAAAAGATCTGGCGTAGGTGAAAGAGCGTAACGCCTATCCATATCCGCAATCTTGTCAGCCAGTTCTTTAAGTTGTTTAGAGCGCTCCTTGTCTCTGTGTGCCACATAAGAAATAACTTGGCCCCTAATGTAGGCTTTCATAGACTCCCACAAGACTCCCCTCGACACATCCTGGGTGTCATTAATTTCCAGAAGAAGTCAATCTGATTGCTGAGAAACGTTTTAAAGCGTTCACATAAAAGTAATAGGGGTCTAGCCGCCACGTTCGTTGGGCGCTACATTACCTGGAAAAACCAGACCCATCTGCACAGGGCTATGATCTGACAACACTATACTGTGGTATTTGGTGCTGGAAATTAAGGGAAGTAGCTGGTTATCGACAATGAAGTAATCAATCCTGGAGTAACTATGATGTACAGGGGAAAAAAAGGAAAATTGCTTCGTAGATGGGTTTGTTGCACGCCAAGGGTCTGATAAGCCGTAAGAACGAAGTAGGGAATTAATAGCCACTGCTGCTGACGAGAGGGTGTTGCTCGACCTTACGCTTGATCGGTCCAGCTGGGGAGAAAGGACACAATTAAAGTCTCCACCTAGAATTAGTTTATAGGAGACAAGGTCTGGGAGAGTCGAAAAAAAATTAAGAAAGAACTGTGCGTTGTCCCAGTTAGGTCCATAAATATTAGCCAGTATTAGTGGTGTGTTAAACAGCTTGCCCACTACAACAACATATCTGCCATTAGGATCTGATATCACTTCAGAGTGTTCAAATGGAACCCCCTTCCTAATTAAGATTGCTGTTCCCCTGGCTTCGTAGTTAAAACGTGAATGATATATTTGTCCAATCCACTTACAACCTAATCTTTTTTGGGAGTTAGTATTTAAGTGTGTCTCCTGTAGAAACATCACGTCAGGTTTGAGCGATTTCAAATGACTAAATACCTTGCTTCTTTTAACCAAATTATTCAGCCCTTTGACGTTCCAGCTAATGAATGAGACCGATTTCTGTTGATTATTCACATTATCCAGAGTCATAGTGCCACAATCGATAATAGACTGATCCTGCACGTTGGTCATATCTCAGTGTTTCAGTGCCTGTTTGAGCCACAACATAAACCACAGATAAACCCAAAGCAAAACTAACAAAAACAAACAGATAAACATAGATAAACCTCTCACCATCCTGGACCCCTGGGCTGGTCTTCCACAAACCTGAGACTGCCCTGAAAACACTCCTCTCTCTCCTAGGCATATAACACGTTTACACTAGCTTAAACTCTTACATGAACTCAGCAAAGACAGAACAAAGTATAATAGGACCCTTGACTCAGCATCATTATTGCCGCATGCATGTCGGCACCCATCCACTTACAGGCCGGTACGGCTCTGAACACTCACGGTTGGAAAATAATCCCACAAGAAAGGGGTAAAACCCAATAAAAATAATGACACTGGTGATAAGAAAAAGGGGATTAATTAATCAGAATACATCAAAAAGCAAAATAAAAGCACTGTCGGGGTTATGGTGTCGGGCTGGAACGAAGACCAATGAGGATACCGAAGATATTCTGAAATAAAATATTCCCCAGGCCACATGACATCCACAGAAATCCCCAACATCTTATAGCTATACCTTGTCCAATCATAAAGGGCACCCAACCGTAGCGTGGCGACGTTCACCAGTCAATGCACAGCCTGTGCAGACTACCTCAATGGTAGCACGCAGCGTGTGATACTTGTTGTGGTCCGTGAATTAACTGTCACTCTCCCTCCGTCTCCCGTGGGCGCAGATTGGTCTCGACGTAGTGCCTTGCCTTGGTCGGGTCTTCGAAAGACATCTGTTCGCCAGCCGGGGTCGTGATTTTCAATGTAGCTGGATACAGGAGACCATATTTCACTCCCGTACACCGGCGAAGCAATCTTCTCACCTCGGTAAAGGCCGATCTCTTCTTTCTAACGGTGGCCGAGTAATCTGGGTAGATGTAGAAACGCTTCCCATTACGGGTAATGGGACCTGCCCCCATGGCCTTTCGAAGAACATCCACTTTCTCCTGAAAATAGTGGAACTTGACGATTATCGGTCTCGGGGCATCTCCATCCTTTGGCCTCGGCTGCAGGCTCCTATGCGCCCGATCGAGCGTCGGCGTATAGTCGAGGGCGAGCGCTTCCTTCAACAATTCAGCCACGGCTTTCTCCGGTCGAATATTTCCGAATCCCTCTTCCACCCCAATTAGTCTGCAGTTATCACGACGTTGCCGGGACTCCAAATCATCAGCCTTGTCTGCCAACCGGACGACTTGGGCAGATAGCGCATCAACTTTAGCTTCCAGTGCTACAACACGGTTAGCCTGGCCATTAGCTTCCTCCTCAAGATCATCAGTGCGGGTCGAGAGCGTGGCGTTTTCTTTCTGCATGTCTTCGATAGCCTTCGCAAACTCTGCGCGCACACTCAGGACCTCTGACCTTAAATCACCCGCCAAGTCGTCTATTTTCTTGTGTAGTTCACCTGCAGCTGCCATCACAG